CAGTACAGACCCCTGAGGGACACCACTTGTCACCAGTCTCCGTTTGGACATCAAGACATTGACCGCTACCCTCTGGATGCGACCATCCAACCAATTCCTTATCCACCAAACAGTCCACCCATCAAATCTGTATCTCTCCAATTTAGAGAGAAGGATGTTATGGGGGACTGTGTCGAAGGCTTTACAGAAGTCCAGATAGATGACATCTGTTGCTTTTCCCTTGTCCACTAATGCAGTCACTCCTTCATAGAAAGCCACTAGGTTAGTCAGGCAGGACTTGTCCTTGGTGAAGCCATGCTTGCTGCGTCAGATCACCTCCCTGTCCTCCATGTGCTTTAGCATAGCTTCTAGGAGGATCTGTTCCATGATCTTCCCATGCACAGAGGTGAGGCTGACAGGTCAGTAGTTCCCAGCATCCTCCTTTCTTCCCTTTTTAAAAATGGGAACAACGTTTCCCTTCTTCCAGTCACCAGGGACTTCACCTGACTGCCATGACTTTTCAAATATCATGGAGAGTGGCTTTTGTCACACCTAAGCCCCAGGACTCTGGGGTGCATCTCATCAGGTCCCATAGACTTACGTACATTCAGGTTCCTCGGGTGGTCTCGAACCTGATCTTCCCTTACAGTGGGAGGGGCTTTACACCCCTGATCCCCATCTTGCAGTCCATCAACTTGGGAGGGGTGAGGAGAGAGGTTGCCATTGAAGACTGAGGAAAAAAAGTTGTTGAGTACCTCAGCCTTCTCCTCGTCTGTTGATACTAGGTTGGCATTCTTGTTCATCGGGGGGGTACGCTTTCTTTAGCCTTCCTTTTCTGGTTGACATACCTGTAGAAGCCCTTCTTGTTATTCTTTACATCCCTTGCCAAATTCAGCTCCAGCCGTGCCTTGGCCTTCCTGACCCCATCCTGTCAGACCTCAAATCAGACCTCAAACACCCAGGGACAGCCACCAGCAGGCTGCAGGGAGAGAGACATCCCTGATAACCCTTCACAGGGAAAGCTTGGCAGCTTCTGCGGTATGCAGAGTGCCAAGGGGAAGCAACACAGTCAAGGAAATGGACTATCATGCCAGCCTAGGGAGGTGCAACACATGAAAGCTTCCAAAAGACAGGAGGAGGACAGTTTTCAAACACAAGTGTAGGTATTTTATATAAATTCAAGAGATAAAGATGCAGTTATATGGTAGAGGGGCAGCATTTGGTACCTTAGACAGTCCATGTGGATGCACTGGGATGCTTTGTACTCTCCCTGGCTGTCCTTCTGAAACCCAATTTCCTGATACATATTAATTCCATGAGCTGCTGCTCTTGCTTCCACAAAGGGCCTAGTGAAAGAGGCAATGTGAAGGAAAGGAACAGAACAGCCATTTCCCTTCATCTCCAACAACGGTTTCACAACTGCTTTAGTTACAAACTTCCTAAAGTTACAGTTACAAACTACCTAAAGAATTTTTCTTGCAATTTGTCTGTGATATCTGGCCACAGGGTAAACTTCCTGCAGGACAGAATTGCAGCATGACACAAGACGTAAAGCTGCTTGCTTACATCCTGCACCAGGAGGTGGAGGCACATGGTCCCTCTCCCCTTGCTTCCCGAAGGCTTGCTTGTGCCCCTTTCCCTGATATCCTCCAGATCTCTTTTGACCCTCTCCCTGAGCTCCCAAGACTGGGCTCATCCATACACCAACATTGACACATTGACAAGGGTTTAAAGCAGCTCAGCCGAGCGGATGGGACTCTACAGAAGCTCATACTTCCAAGCCAATGACCACAGGATTTGGTGAGGTGTTCAAAGTGGCCAGACAGTCGGCATGGATCACACACTATCACCACTATGTGAGCTATGGAAGGACCCTGCCCCACAGATCAGGTGACACCTTGTCAGCTTAGTTTTCATTCCTGATCTTACCAGTCAAAGAAGTCTCCATTGTACGTGACAATGATGGTGGGTTTGGTCTCCTGGACATGTTCAAACCACCTCTGGATTAAATGAGCCTAGGATGAAACAGAAGAGTAGAAAAGATACATATATAAAGTAACTTCATCTCCTCCACAGAGAGGTGGTGGATACTATACAGTTCACTCCACCCTTCCCCTCTCCTCCCCACCTAACCCAAACCTGACCTCTCTTACCTTTATTACCAAGAAATGAAAGCATGACCAGCCCTGCCAGACCCACCATGTTCCCCAGCGAGGCAGCCTACCAAGCAATTAGCTCTCTTTGTCCAACAAGAGCCCCAGGCAGGTAAAAAGTCTGCTGGGCTGACTTACTTCATCTGGTTCATTAAAGACATAAAATGGACCCTCATACTCAGGCTTGGGAGTAAACTCAAAATCTTCAATATCCTCAGAGACGATCTCCCTGTTTGTGATCAGGTAGCCCTAGAGAGGTAACAAGGCAGCAGTTAGGAAGACTTGGCTTGCAGGCAACCCGAAAATGCTGTCCAAACGATGGGATGTATTCCTCTTGAAAGCCAGAGCTTCTGTCAAGGGGGAAAAACTGTTTGGGAGTCATCTGCTGAACCATCACTGGCAATTGGCTAAGGAGCCACCGGGAGACAACACAGGACAGCAGAGTTGCCCCTATGCTCTCCAGGTTACTACTGCTCCCTCAGAGGAGCACCAGCTACCTGAGCTGGGTACCACAAAACTAAGTATCTTATACATCATTCAGACTTTAATTTCATTTCTACAGCCACACACCAAGCAGCTAGCAACAAGGCATGCCTGGAGCGAGCTGGGTTGGAGGTGAAACACTGGCCTGCTCCGCAGCTTCGCTGCTGGAGCATGGAGAACACCACTCTGCTGTCCCTTACCTGCCCATCAATCATGTAGGAGATCATCATGATCTGGTCTGTCTCCGCATCAGGAAACTTCAAAGGGAGTTTGGTAGTTTCAATATCAAAGGCAAGAACAACAGGATCCTGAGCAGCACCAAATCCATTAGAAAATATTGCAAAGCTGACTTGTAGTTAAAAAGCGATTCCCATTAAGCCCAGTGCTAGCCCAGCACGTGAACCAAACCCTCCCCAGTAATCATTTTACTGCTTTATCAAACCAAAATTCACTACCCAAGCCCAGAATCAAAGCCTTCTGGCTGAGCACCATGGCGTGACACCAGCAGCGCATCAGAAACCAGCTCCTCTGGGCAGACACACCAGCTGTGCACCTGGCCAGACTGGCGCCTGCTAGACCAACACTCACCGGTCGCTCCACAAGATCATCTCGGCGGGTGATTTCAGGGGGGTAGGTGCTGCCCCGGTATCGCACGTTGTACCAGTGAGCCTGTTGAGAGAGGAGGGAGGGCAGTGCCTTACCGTGGGGCCAGCTCGTTGCATCACTTCTGTTCGGCTGCTGGGGACACAGCTGTGCGAACTAAATGCAGCTCAGAAGAAAGACTTCAACTGTGGCTGTGCACCAATCATTTAACTTTTCTGCAGGTCATTAACTAAGGAGAAGGCCCAGCAGTACAGGACTAAGCTTTACACATGAACTCATCATCACCAACACCTTTGCAAAGGTCCTGGAGACAAAACATTTCTGCCCTGCCTGCACTTCAGGAGTACGGCAGCAGGAAAACAAAGCTCTTCCAGCTTCCCTATTCCTTACTCACCACGTGGATCTTCAGGTCAATGGACAGGCGAACATGGTAGGGCACATCGTACTCCCGCATATCCACAATGTTGTCCATCTGGTTGGCAACCTTTCTAGAGGCCCCTTCCTCATCTGTGCTCAGGCTGCCTCCGCTCAGAGCGCTGCAAGGAGCAGAGCAAAGCACCTGCCTTACCTGAGGGCACATATCTGCATGCTCAGCTGCAAGGGACAGCCACGTGGTGGCAGGAGTCAGTGACAGGAGAGGAGAGAACAAGAAATGCTTCTCCACCATGTAATTACCCTCTGCATGCAGAGGCGTCCCTAGGATGAACAGCATGCACAGTCTGGTCACTCCTGTCTAAATTCACCTTTTCTCATGCTTGTGAGTTGTGCTTGCTCAGAGGTACAGGCAGACAAAACCCACACATGCCTGTATAATGAATGGTTCTTAATAGCATTGGATTTATAAGTATGGTAACAAGTCCAAGCATAATGAGGCAACCTGCGAAGCACTTTGAACAGGGACAGTATGCCTTCCAGGTGAGCAGGAAGCACTCATCTCGCTTGATTCTTCTTCCTCAATTTCAACTGAAATCAGACTTCAGGGCCAGGAAACCAAAGAAAGGAGTGAATTTTTCATGTGTATATTCTGGTTGACTTTAAAAACAAATTTTCTTTTTTTTTTTTTCTATCTGCAACTGTGTTTCCAATCTTGTAAACAAGTGCCTGGCTTTTTATACAGATAAGAAAATGTTTGTTGGGCTTTTTTTCCCCTTTAGTCACAGCTAGAAGTAAGGTTGCCCAGTGACTCTCAGTATCCTTTTTCAGGGGACAGGCAACCTATTTCACCAGCAGAGGTAACAACACAGCACATCACACTGCAGAGGCTCTGTGGCCTCTTGATGTGCAGCACTGAGCTGGAAGAACCACCTCGGAGATGGGGGGCAGAGAGGCATAGCTGGCGTCAGACCCCAGGCAGGACAGCTCCTCTCTGAGAACAGCTAAGAAATAATCAAGGGAGCCTAATTATTAACACGAGAGACCGACCGGCCACCCTAAGAAGAGCTCCCACCTTGACAGCATAGCTGTGTAGACATCGCTCGCCTGGTCTCTCTCTCTGTTTTTCCTCACAGCAGGAAAGATCTCCTTCCGCACCTTCACCAAGTCATCCACCGTGTTGAAGGACAACTTGATATAGTTCCTCTTCAGGCCCACCAAGTGGTTTGGCTGCAAAGCAGCAAGACAACACCAGCTCAGGGGGGATGAGTACTGAAGGACAGCCACCATAAAGAGAGGGTGGGGAAGGCAGGCTAGACTGATGCAGGTGGAATTAGCCAAAAAAGAGGTGCCAAGGCGTGGGAGAGTCAAGCACCAGCAAGAGACTCTGGTGTGCACACCAGGGAAGAGCACAACAGCTGCACAGCAAGGGCCCAGCCAGCCCTGCTGCCCATGCAGGCAGGACCATGAGCAGGATTCAACCAGGGAAGAGGAAGAAGAGCAGGTCAAGCATGAGCAGCATCCCCCTCCCACAGTACCCTCTCCTCCCCCAATCATTCTTTAATTCCTGCAATTAAACATCTTGAACACACTGTGAAATAGCTGATGTGCTCAAGGAGAGGAGTGTAATTACTACCGATAAGCAATTAGCCATAACTAACCTGTTTCTGATAAGGCACCACAAGCAACACTAGGAGATTGAAGTCAAGCATGCTGTTTCCCTTCACTACTCAGTCCCTTCCTACTTCACTAGAGCTGTGCAAGGTCCAAAAAAAAGAACACTACTCAAGAGCACAGAGTGCAGAAGAATACAGACCAGGTCCAGGTCTTCTTTGGGGACAGTTTCCAGCTTTGCAATCTTCCCTTGGAACTTCTTGGAGAGGAAGGAGGAGACTTCTCGCTCACAGCCCTGCCAAGAGGTCCTGGGGCTGAGCACACAGCTCCATCCCTTGGGAGAAGACTGTCCCAAAGCAGGATGCCCAGGAGGCCTCAAGCTCCCCAGGGACTTGCTGTCCCCTGCCCTGGGGATCTCAGCCCTCCCAGGGTCTACTCCTCACCTTCTGGGTAGCAATGTAGAAGTAGGGCTTGTAGGGCAGGGCCACCTAGGAGAGGACAGGTTACAGTGGCAGGTCCCCTCGTGGGACCCTGCACCCTGCCCAGTCCCTGTGGGGACCCACCTTGAAGCGGCTCCCGTCCTCCTGGATGAAGTAGTAGTCCACAGCACTCACCGATCGTCGGTCCTCGTCCAGCACCTCCGTCTGCCCACGGGCACCATGGACTCAGCGGGGTC